TTCTTCAAAATTTCCTAATATTTTCCCATTACTTTGAAATTCCCCAAAATGTCGTAGTATTTCCTCAGAATTTCCTCTAATTTCGCCCATTCCCTACGTGTTTCTCAGCTTTTCCTCAAACTTTCCTATTTGAGAGACAATAATTTCCCTCAGATCTGGTTACGACTTATTGTAGTGGACAGATTTCCTTTATTGCCTAAGAAGTGCCCCTATTTCCTATAATTTCCCCAACATTTCTGCCATTGCCTTAAATTACCCCCAATTTACACAAAATTTCGTTACTTCCCTATAGAAACCTTGCATTTCCATAAAATTGCCTCAGAATATCCTCGGAATTTCCTCTTATTTCTTCAAAATTTCCTAATATTTCCCCATTACTTTGAAATTCCCCCAACTGTCGTAATATTTCCTCAGAATTGCCTCTAATTTCGCCCATTACCTACGTACGTGTTTCCCAGCTGTTCCTCAAACTTTCCTATTTGAGAGACAATAATTTCCCTCAGATCTGGTTACGACTTATTTTAGTGGACAGATTTCCTTTATTGCCTAAAAAGGGCCCCTATTTCCTATAATTTCCCCAACATTTCTGCCATTGCCTTAAATTACCCCCAATTTACACAAAATTTCGTTACTTCCCTATAGAAACCTTTTATTTCCTTAAAGTTTCCTCAGAATTTCCTCTTATTTCTTCAAATTTTCCTAATATTTCTCCATTCCTTTGAAATTCCCCAAAATGTCGTAATATTTGCTCAAAATTTCATCTAATTTCGCCCATTCCCTACGTGTTTCTCAGCTTTTCCTCAAACGTTCCTATTTGAGAGACAATAATTTCCCTCAGAGCTGGTTACGACTTATTTTAGTTGACAGATTTCCTTCATTGCCCCTATGTCCTATAATTTCCTCAACATTTCTAGCATTGCGATAAATTTCTCCACATTTACACAAAATTTTTTCGGAATCAACGTGAAATGAGTAGTGTTACTTCTTTATAGAAACCTTTTATTTCCCTACAATTTCCACCTATTTTCCCAAAATTCCCTGATATTTTCCCAAAACTTCCTCTAATTTCGTCCATTTCCTACATATTTCACAGAAATTTCCTAAATGAGAGACAAGAACTTTCCTCACGATCAAAAGAATACAAAAATGAAGAAGATACAAAAGTATTTCAAAAAGAAAGATTTTTTACAAAGCTCCTTAGCAAAAATTTCCAAAAAATTCTGTTTCTGAGACTCTACTTTTTCTTAATACAATTTTTAGAAAGACGTACATACTAAATATTAAAAAAATGCCTAAAGTATTTTAATTAATATTTCTACGGTTCCTAAAAGGTTTTTCCGACAAGGTTTTTTGAAACTCCCTGTAAACTTTGCTGAAAAAATTTAAATGGCACTGCTCGCAATTTAGACATCAAGATTTTTTTTAAATTTTACTGGTTATTAATGAGCGGTCCGGCTCGTTCATGATTTTGGACTGTCCCTCCGTATGTGTAACTCGTGAACGGTTTCGAATTATTCTGTTTTCAGTAAAGTCAAGTGAGTAATTGATTAAATTTTGGTCATTAGGACTTTCTGTCCGTCCGTCTGCCTACATGATAACTTGCGAACGGTTTCGAATTTTCCAATTCTGTTTTTAGTAATAAGTAGGCAATGGTAAAAGGAGTAATTGATTAAATTTTGGTCATTAGGACAGTCTGTCCGTCCGTCTGTGTACATGATAACTCGGAAACGGTTTCGAATTTTCCAATTCTGTTTTTAGTATTAAGTAGACAATGGTAAAATGAGTAATTGATCAAATTTTGGTCATTAGGACTTTCTGTCCGTCCGTCCGTCTGTGTACATGATAACTCGCGAACGGTTTCGAATTTTCCATTTCTGTTTTTAGTAATAGGTAAACAATGATAAAAGGAGTAATTGATTAAATTTTGGTCATTAGGACGTTCTGTCCGTCCGTCTGTGTACATGACAACTCGGGAACGGTTTCGAATTTTCCAATTCTAGTTTCAGTAATAAGTAGAGACAATGATCCAGAGACTAACCGAGTAAATTTTGGTCGTTTGAACTTTCTGTCCGTCCCTCCGTGATAAATTGGTTTCAAACAGTCTATTCTTATTTGTATTGAGAATTGTACGTAGTCTACCAAATATTTTTTTATTTGATTTATTTTGATTAGTAGTATTAGTATTAATAGTCTACAATCAACCCTCTTACTGCATCTACACATGTAACCCCTCCCGATTTTGAATTTTTTTTGGAATTCGGCCTTACTGATTATTCTCATTCGTATTAGGAAGGGTGTAACTGTGCAATGCATCAAATATTTCTGTTTCTTAAATTAATTTTGGCTACATGTTCTTCAAGCAACCCTCTGACTGCACATACAAATGTCACCCCTCGTAATTTTGAGATTAAGATTTTTTTTAAGTACCTTCTAACTGATATTATTCTCATTTAGCTTGAGAAGGGTGTATCTTTTGCAGTACACTCAATATTTCTGTTTTTTTAAATTGATTTTGTGTTTCCAAGGGTTCGAAGGGTTTTTTCTATAAAAATTCGGAAAATCATAACAGTTTCAGGAACACCTACGTTTCTTAAGCTTGCAGAAAGTTACCTAGTAAAATTCCTAGAACGATTTTTAAAAATTTGCCATTGTGAAAGCGTTTGTTTAAACTAAAAATACAAGGGCATTTGGTTTGCAAAGTTCCTGATTTTTACGTGTTCGTTTCAACCCCTAGACGTGCTCATATGAAAATTAAAACAATTTTCAATTTTGCCAATATTTCTACCGTGTGTGAACCAAATTAGACCCCCCGAGTAAGGCCGCCAGCATTGGCGGTTTTGAATATAAAATTTTGGTGGATGATATTATGACTAAAAACGAACTGAATGCCGCAAATAGTATTCGCCTATCACCGGTTTAACAGCAAGTGCCCTGAAATTTCGAAATTTTAATAACGCGTCTTTACACAGGGTGTCCCAGGAAGAATGGACAATATTTTGGGAAAGTAGAGGGTATTTGAAGACAAAAACTATCATAAAATATTACGTTTACCAATACGAGAAAACCTGGTATTCCCCGTATGGGTATAGAAATGATAGTGGATGATTGTAGAAAAAAAGATAACTAATTTTCGTTTACTGGGGGAATACCCCCCAGACCCCCCCAGTACTACATTCCCATCCAGAAATGTTTAGCATTAAAATTCGCATGAAAACTTTAGAGAAAAAAACCATTCAATGATCCACGGTTGAACAGGAAGTGATAGGATAACACTATTTACAGTGTTTTTGCTCATAATGGTAATAACCCACTACAATTTTGTCAAACTTACAGAGTGGGCTTAGTTTCGGTTACACATTGTATACAGTGTGTTCCAGATAAAGGGTCACCTCCATAGCTGTTACAAAAAATGGTCAAATATAACTTATGCGGCCTCACGATATATCCGATGCCAAATTGGCATTTCCAGTGTCACTTCCGGTCTAACCGGAAATCGATACTTCTGTTTTTCAAATACAACGCCTACGTTTTTTTAGCACGCTAGATTTCATGTTTTCTAAATACTTATTGAATCATTACTCCATTTTTGTGTATATCATATGCATATTTTAATGCGAACAGTAAATTTTCATAGATCTTTAAAAAAACATGGGCAGTGCATCGGAAAAACAAAAAGTTTCCTCCAATTCTGATTAAACCGGAAATGATACCGGAAGTTTCAATATGCGATCGGAAAGATCGTAATGTCAGTTGTCACCTGTGAAAATTATATTTGACGAATAAAAGAGCTATTGAAGTGGCCCTCTTATCTCGAACACAAAATAACAAAATGTTATGGTAACGCTTTATATTTTTTAGTACAACTTATTTGACCACCCGGTACTTCCGCATATTACTTCACCATACTTTCTCGTATTTGCTTACACTTGGTAATTTAATGATGTAAGAATGTTCGCGGTTTAAAATTTGGATTTCGCATGGAATTTCGGACAATTACGTCAGTTCTGGAAGGATTTTGGGAAAATGTTTTTGTATTTCGAGAAGTGTTCTCTAGACTCCCAAAGTTTTAATTACTTTTACTACTTTAGTATACGGTAATTAAGTACTACAACCGGAAAAAAATCTAATCGCATTGGAATTTTTAAATCCTTCAAGCCCGCAAGCCTTAAAATTTCGGAATGTGAAACGGTCTTCCGAAACTTATATTTCAAAATAATATCACACTAGAGAATATCCTTAATCGCGATCTTACAAAGTCAAGGATTCCCAAACTGTAACATGAGTAACACGAAATTAGTGCAACACCCCCTTGGAAATGAAAATTACTCATTTCTCAATCATTGCGCTTAAAATGCCGAAGTGTGCACGTTGCAAATTGCACGTAATCCACTTATTTAACTTAAGTGTTTGTTGTTTAATTAATTAGGAGGAAAACGAAATTTCGAAAATTATGGAACAGATTCAATTAAATTTGAAATTTTAAGAGCGTTCTGCAGTGGTCATTTGAAGTGATTTCAAATTAATCAAATTAATTTCAAACGGCTGCAATGATTTCATGGGGAATGTCCCCTTCGGCAAACGTTATCTCAAAAGGAGTACATAAAGATACAAAAATAAATTATTTGTGCACTAAAAAAAACAGGAAAAATCCGTTTTACTTCATTTTAAGTTAATTCAGCGAAAAGAGCGTAATTATTATTCCCTTTGTTTTCGCCCAATTACATAGTCGATAAAGCGTACCTACTCCAAAGTGAAAATGTGCCGAAATACGCATCTCCAGGAATGCCACGACACATATTTTATAAATTGAAAAATATTCAATGAAGGCGCAGAATCACTCGCACTTCCGCTTCCATGACAACCCCTACAAAGCTACTATAGTAACGTGGACCAAATTTTTGGAATTTGTCCATTTTCGACCAGATGAAGTAAATTGGAGCATACGTGCGTGCTATTTAAGTTAATGGAGCAGGATCGTGAAGGTTAAGAGCACGTCTTACCTTTAATAACTCCCTAAAGTACGGACTGCAGGCTGACAGAACGACGCGGTGAGCCTTTAAACTTTTTCCATCGCAAGCCAAAGTTACATCAACGAAGTCTTCATCGTCACGGAGGTTTTCGAATGCTGAGGTTATACTGCTCTGGTAATTGTTCCAACGTAAACAGAAGTGTTGCGTATCTACCATTGTAATAAATGTTCACCTGTAACAAAAAGAGAAAGAAAAAATTAATTAAATCGCCAAAAAAAAACTTACGCATAACGTAAACGAATACATAATGTACGATCGATACGTTATATTTACGTAGGAAATTTGTGTAAACAAACAGAAATTGGGAGAAGGAAATGCGAAAAAAATTTACAGGAACGGGAAAAATAATGTAGAAATCAGCAGCGGGAAAGGTTCGTGTCTCTGCTCGATCATTAAAAATAAATTGTATAAAAAAGCCATTGGCTATTTACTACAAGGGGTGGGGAAATGTGCGAATATGGCTACCGGTAAAAAAATTATGACGTAAAGGAGCAGCAAAGTTCGAATGCGCCGCGACGCTCGGCGTCGGTATGTTAATTCCGTGTTTATTAAACTAGCATCGTACTACACGATGACGCTCGCCGGCTTAATGAAATGACACATGTCAGACCAAACAAAACATCAACATGCAATATGTAAAATGTACACAAAAGACATGTGACAAGATTTCGCGCTTCTTTAATTATTCGCACGCAAGGCGGCTGAAAGGTAGACAAATTACCTGAGAATCCGAGACGCTCTCATTTATAAATTTTATTTGTCGATTTTTTCAGCCAAATCCATTTTTAAAATTTTTTTTTTCAAGAGCCGGTGCATCGATGCAACGCAGCAGGCGGCGGTGCGCCGCGATGCACAAGTGACAGACGCCGCGTCCACGGCACACTTGACCGCGAAATACGAAACCAGTCGAGTCCTCCGGGAGATTCAAACTCACGCACTGCACCACAGCACAAACGTCAGATCATCACCGCAACTCGGCGAATATTAAAAATACAAACGCGCAAAAAATGACGGCCCGGTTATTCTTTATTGGGACATGGCTATGAGACATCTGCCGTAATAAGCCAGCACTAAAAAATAGTGCGTGCCGCCCACCCCTCCGCGGCGAATGAAAATGCGCAGAATAACGAGTACAGGCCCGCAATTAAAAATGTCAAAATAAAAAAAATCAAATTTTATTCAATTTCGATCAATCGACGCCCGCGGGGCGAGCTAGACGCGCGCGGTGCGTGCGTCCGGCGTCGTTTTTTCGAAATTTTTCGCAAAAAAATGCGAAAAAATCCACGATCGCAAATAACGAAAGATCAAAATTGCATATTCGTAAGCTAATGAGCGCCCCTTCGCCCTCCTCCCACCAATTTACCCCCCAAAAAATCATTACGTTCTTCGCGGGCTGAGGTTATAGAGCTGCGCATGAACATTTTAATTCTCATAGAATAAATACAGACTTGTGTGAATCAGCTATTTTTCCCGTTTCGTTTCGCTGGGCCATATTTTATTGATTTTATAATCAATACCGCAATAAAACCTGCAATGTTTTCATCTCTACAACTTCCAGCATCCTTAGCTACTACCTATTCTGTTTACTGTAGTATCACTTTTTGCGGAGCGGAAAAGGAACTTCGTCCACTTGAAAACTTCATTAGTTTCCACGTCGATTTTTGATTTTATCACGCGTTACATTGCTAATTCACTCACACTTATAAACGTACTGGCAAAGTCATCTGCAACGAAAACACTTTCCACAATTGAACCATTTTTGATAACGTTCGATTATTTTTTCTTTTTTTATACAAAACGAGTAGATGCGCGTGTTTGACTTTACGATAAGGACTACACTTTCTCATTCAAGGTTATTTTTTTACGTTAAGATTAGTCCGAAACGAAAAATCCACCCCCCAATCAGCGCGGATGCGGGATAATTAATTCGGCGAAACGACGACGGAAAATAATGGCGAAACTGTTTCGCAATCGCGCATCTTAAAGAAATGAGAATAGAGGATATTTTTTTATGTTAGCTAATCGCGAGCAATTATGAATAATTACTATTTTTATGTTGCTCTCTTAATCTGGGTCGATAATTAAGTAATATAATGGGCGGTCTGTGATTTTGAAAATCGCCAGCACTCGTCGCGTGCAAAAGCGAAAGTTAAAGGCGTCGCGATAAAGCGCGACGGGCGGAAAACGGAAGGAAATGCGAAAATATATATTCGGATGTAAAGATTTATCGTGTGACAACATTCCTAAATGCAAATCCATCGATTATTCTCCTGCGTCTTATGATATTCTCTCAAATTTCGGATTATAAAACCGATAATTGGCGCAATCTTATGGGGTTTCCATTAGATTATTGGTGATTTCCAAAAATCTTAGAAAAAGTTCCAATATTTCCCATTGCGTCAAAAGAAAGGAATTCTCGCATTTCAATTGAAACACATATAGGGTTAGACAAAACTACCCTTATATCTTAATTTTTACTACACACGACCTTGTAAAGTCAATTTTTAGCGCATTTTTGAAAAAAATACGCTATTATATTCGTTATGGCTGGCAGGCCGGCTGTCCGCGTGAGATCTCAACAACTACAATAGCTAGAGAATTCAAATTTTCACTAAAAGCTTTCTGCTATAGTGTAGATGTGCAGGCACTAGTCTATTTTGAGTTAGATTACTTGTGAGATCGATAATTGAAGAAAATAATTTCGATATGGGTTTCGGAGGTGCTATAATTTTACCGTTAAATAGCGCTACCAGTATAAAAACTTATTATTTACTTTGTGATTTGTTTCAAAATAAAGACGTACCCTCAATTGAAATTAAATCAAATCAATTATTTAACGCAGCCAAAATTACTCGTGAGATCGATAATTTTAAACTTCGCTACTAAAATACTGACCTGCATTACCAAAAATGCGCTTTAATCATGCATATGCTGATTTACAACTTGTTTTGGATAATATCATTATACGACTCCGTAAAGAAGTACCCCGAATTCAAACATGATCGCATACGATTATTTTCAGTAGGGGTATTTTTTACCCCTCGGCTCGCATTCGGAAACCGGACTTTTAATACGGCTCATATTCAATGGTACTGATCATTGTACTCGTAGAAATCGATTTGTCAAGGTTTGACATCGCTTTCTCTTTTCGTTCTCGAGTTTTAGACGAGGGGTAGATGGACAAGACGAACAGAGGGACAAAACCATCACAAATTCCCCCAAAAATGCAAGAAAAACCTCAAAATGCACGTTGAAGGGTTCGCAACTGATTTTAGCAAAAAAATAGAGACTTGGTCTCTAATTACATATTTAAAAATAGAGACCATTAGAGACCTTTGAGAACCAATTTCCATACAAAATTAAGCAAAAAATATTTATTTTGTAATAGATGAGATACATAAACGGCAATATATCTAAACATAAATTGTGCACAACTCTTGTACGGATAAAACGCATTTTTTTTCACGTCTTGCAGACGTCCCAATCGCCCTTTGTGAGTACCCTCTTCCGACAATCCGTTCTCGAGGTATAAGGGAATATACCCGATCGCGATAAGAGGTCGAGGAGGAGGGCTATGGTTGATAGAAATTAATTCCTTTCGTTGAGACCTTTCATTAGAGTACCATGAAGGACAAAACTAATTCCCCCCCCCCCTGCCCCTCCACCCCGTACTTTGATAAGAGGACAGAAGAAGGGCAGTATAGTTGGTAGAACACGGTTCCTTTCGTTGAGACCAATTGGTTGTCGTATGTAAAAGTTATGCACATTTCACTTTCAAAAACAGTATCTCAGGAAATAATTCGTGGGGGGGCCCCCCTTTTAGACAGAGAATTTGGTGGCCGTCTGGCACACCTTCAAGGTATAGGCTACCTACTGCAAAGAATTCCAGGACTCTAGGACCATTCTCCTAGAAGTAGTTCGAAACGGCAGAAGTGGGTCCGGACGGACAAAACGCATTTTTTTTAATTCTTAAAAAATGCGCTAAAAATGTACAGTAGAATTTCTGCGGTTTATCAGTTATGAATTATACTTTTTTAACATGCAAAATTTAGAGACTTTAGAGACCAAATATGAAAAATAGAGACTTTTAGAGACCAGCATTGAAAAAAGAGACCATAATGTCTAAAAAAGAGACCATTTGCGAACCCTGACGTTGGTTTTGCATTGGACAAAAAATGTTGGACGTCAGAAAAAGATCTTCCAATTGACAATTCTTAGTATGTACAGGGTGGTCACTTTCTAATGGAAGCTTTTTTGAAAAAGTAAAAAAATTCTAAATAAAAAAGTAGGTCAATACTACGACGCAAGTCCCTCTTCCTACACAAAAAAAGTTGTGCACTAAAAAATTAAATGTTCCCCCCCCCCCTCTCATAGTACTCCAAGTTATTATTTTATGCATCGGTCTGGAAATTTTGCTTTGCCAACCTTATGTGTTATTATTAATTGGAGAGTGCTGGGTCTTTGTGTGTGCCTTCCTAATTATTTCAATACATCTCCGAAGGAATAAGGGGACCTTTAGCCCCTTCCCACATAACCTTCGATTAGGATTAGGCAGCACCCATCGAATTTGAATCTTCCGCAGGGTCACGCATTCCACGTTGAAGAATCGCATACGATTATTTTCAGGAGGGGAATCTATCACTCAGTTCGCATTCGAAAACTGAACTTTTAATCCGGCTCATATTCAATGGTACCGTCGAGTGATTTAATTACTCAATGATGGTACTAATCATTGCACTCGTAGAAATCAATTTGTCAAGGTTTGACATCGCTCTCTCATTTCATTCTCCAGGTAGACGAGGGATAGATGGACAGACGAACAGAGGGACAAAACCATCAGAGAAGAGAAATTTTTTTCTTTCTAGGGAATTTAGAAAGAAAAAATTCCTCTTATCTGATGATTTTTTTTCTTTCTAAATTAGATAGATAGATAGATACTTTTATTTCCACGTTCATCATTGGATATACACAAAAACAGACAAAAAATAACAATATGTTCTAAAAAAATAATAAACTAAAACAAATAAATAATACTAGATGAATCGCAGATAGGTACCTCATTAAACAATTAGGTACTGTTGTATTCCCTAGAAAGAAAAAAAATCTTGTTATCTGATGGTTCGTCTGTCCATCTATCTATCCCTCGTCTACCTCCCTTAAAATTGAAAGAAAAATATACAGTTCATTCAAAAATGTTGGAAGTCAGAAAAAGATGACCTAACCTTGTATCTCCCAATTGACTATTCTTAGTATGTACAGGGTTGTCTACATTCGACACTTTCTTATGAACTTTCTTTTATTAGAGGTAATTGATTTTGACAAAATCTTTCTTAGAGCACTTTTTTATGTAGAATCCATTGCGATGCACAGTTTTTATACAGGGTGTTTCGTTTTTCTTATACGTCCCAAAACTCTATTTTTTCATGTGGACCACCCTATAGAATTTGAAGTTTTTGAAAAAAAAAACGAAAAATTTCTTTGAATGTATCACTTGTTATATTTTTATATATTATAGGTATTTTATATATATGCACTTTATATATTTAAATATATTTATTGCACACATCTAGGTTTCCATGGCGAACAAGAGATGGCTGGATTGTGTAAAAAGACAATTTCTTGTTTATTTCAAAATGTTTATTAGTTTCCAAATATTTTTAATTTAAAATAACACACCAAAAACAAAGAACGTGAAAACACGTGCGAATAAAACAAATAATATATAAATAAATAACACACGTAACCAAGAAATTGCCGTTTTAAACAATCCTGCCATCTTTTATTCGCCATGGAAACTTAGATGCCTGCAATAAAAACATTTTAATGTATAAAATGCAATATTGCAAATAATATAATAAGTGATAAATTATAATTTAGGAAATTTTACGCTCTTTTCAAAAACTCCAAAATATGTAAGGTTGTCCACATGAAAAAATATAGTTTAGGGTCGTATAGGAAAAATGAAGCACCCTGTGCATCGCAATGGATTCAACGTAATACTGCTCCAAGAAAGATTTTGCCAAAATTAATAATAAGAAAGTTATGGGGCATTAAGGAAATCGAC